CTGATTTTTCTTCACAGATGCTGCTGGACCTGCTGAGCTTTCCCAGCAACTTCTGTTTTTGTTCCTGATTTACAGCATCCACAGTTATTTCGGTTTTTCTCTTTCTTAGATGTTAACTCTAAAAGACTCCTGCGCACCTGAATGGTTACCAGCAATCTGAAGTTCCTCTGCTCGGTTAAGGACAGAGTCAGAACATGATGAAAAGGGAAAGATGGCATCATGATTCTCTAACAAGGACTTGGAGGTCCTGGTGAATGTTGTAGTCTAGAAGGGATGCATCCATTTTCCAGAGGACTGGCAGTGGAGCTCATGCTACCAGACCCTGCCAGCCTAGTCCATGGTTGCCACGCAGGTCAGTGCCATTTCCAGGGTGTGAAGGAATAGCCTACAGTGGTGCAAAAAGATCAATGACCTTTTCTGCTCTCCCAGAGTAAGTTCTGCACTCTTCTCACTGCTGTTTTCTCTCTCTCTCTCTGCTAATGCAGTCACCTCGCACCTGTGTTCATGCCCTGCCACTCTCTCAATTGTATGCAAAAACCTCCCTCACTTGATCTCACCTCACCCAATCCCCTTTTCCATGATCCCCGCACACTCTTCAAGCTACTTCCTTATCCAATCAGAATACTACATTTCCCCTGCATGCATCAACACTAACAGCTGTGTCACCCACTGTTATCTCACTCATTTCCAATATTTCTGTCATTACAGAACAGGCCACAGCAAGGCTGTACAAGTGGGGGATGCCTGACATTCGGAACATCACCCACTACGAGTACAGAATCCTTGCCTTGCAGAAGATTGGGGTTATGCCTGCAGGGATACAGAAACACACATGTCCTGCCACTATCTCAGTAACTGCATTGACAATCTTATTCGTTGCACACAACTTCTAAATACTGGCTGCGATACAGTCTCTCTCTTGTGTCTTGCAGCAGGCTCCCCGTGGTCTCTGTGGAGAAACATGCGGGAGAACCTGCCTGAATCTCTGAAGATGACAGTTCAGCGGTCTGAGAGGAAGTATCCGCAATGCTGCCTTCTGCAGCCAACAACAAAATGACACTTTGTTTTCAAAGTTGTGCATAGAAAGTGTAGGAGCACATGCTGGTGAGCACCTCACTGCAACAGCTCAGAGGTTGATGAAGAAGAAATGCCCCAGGCCACCAGCACTCTGAGGACTGCCAGATACCAGGCACCTCAGCCCCAGATAGGAAATATCCGTATAATGTAAGTGATCAGGCACGTCTTCCAAATACACAGGGTGGAGCAGCAGCAGCCAGACAGGCATCTAAGATGCAACAAACCTCAATGCCCAAAAGTTGCATTAATGCAGCAAATCATGTGATCATCTGTCTACGCCATATGGCAGCTACCATGAAGAGCCAAGACTAGCGCCCTCAGAGCATGCTGCAGATATGCATTATCCCATCCATTTTTCCTCAGGATCAAAGGCATGGAGATAGGGTGACAGGAAATCTTGACTCCACTCCAGATGCCCTCTCCTCACAAGGAAGCAGGGCAATGCCAGGAGGCACCCTGTCGAAGGAAGAACGACACACAGGCCCCTCAATAGCTTTCACTCAGAACACTGGTGGCTGGCCCTCCATCTCCATCCTGCTCGCCCACATCCCCTGACTCTTGGAAATTCAAGCCGAGGAGAGTCAACTTTCCTCTGGCAAGAAGACACTTGTCATGTTTTGCCCATCGACAAACAAGGATCCCTTTGATTGCCCACCAAATCTGCAGGACCAATGGGATCCACAGCCAAGCAGGCTCCACCAGCTGCAAAACAAGGGAGTACTGATAGCAATGTAGTGTGACAGAGAGAAAGAGGAAGAATTATTGCAGGCACTTTGGTGGCTTGGGTTACAATGGCTAGTACATTATCCTCAGCTTATGCATTAATATTTGTCCTTTAATCTTACATGTTAGTTTTTCTGCGTAAGTGCTATACGTATTGTTACAACATCTGGCATCACCTCATGGCCACTAGTCGAGGCTTAATGGCTCTCAGTCTGTGCTCAGTGCCTACTGCACCATCTGAAAGCAGGAGGAACAATGTGTGTACATAGCAATGGGTCATGCTGGGACCACTGACCTCCTCATCCAATATCCCTCACATTTAAATAAAGACTGAAAGAACTGCGGATGCCATAAATCCGAGATAAAAACAGAAATTGCTGGGAAAGCTCAGCAGGTCTAGCATGATGTCCCTTGTGTTTCAGTCCTTCTGTGTGCAAAGATGTAGCTATCAATAAAATAATCAACAGTGGCTGTGCCAGGGAACTACAACACACAGAGAGGGTCAACACCTGGGAGTAGACAGCTTGCATGCCTGTGTGCTGTACATCGTCGGGCTCTGTGACCAATGTTCTTTCCCTTTAAAAGCCCTATGATGGGTGGTTGCTGCAGCCTCCTCACTCACAGGTGGAGGCACTTAGCCTGCCCAAAGCGAGTGTGGTTTGCAGCCATTTTCTTCACTAATGCACACTTTTCATTTACATCACTTTAGAAGGTGACAGTGAGCACTCCTCTACTGTGGCTTCCAGCCTCAGCCTGAATATGCAGTGAGTTGTCGAACATCCACATTCTCCTCATTAGTATCACATCCAGTAATTCACACAAACTTCACACATTCCCAAGTCCCCTTCCAACTCATCCACGTGCCCACTCCTGCCTACCTTTCCCACTCAATCCATGGCAGATGGGGTGACCATGTCAACTGTAGTTATGCCCTGCACTCCTCCCCACCTCCCACTCCTCCAACTTAAGTCAGGATACTCCGTACAGTGGACGATTTCCTCCTCCCAATCCGTGCTTAATCATATCTTCCCCCGCCATCAACCTTCACAAGTGAACTGTGCCCTTTTCCAGAACCTGAAGTGCAGAAGAATAACTTGTTGCATCAACATCCTCCCTATTCTACAACTCTCCCACCCATTCTTTTTTTCCTTTGTTTTCTGGGGATGGATCTGACAAACTGATTGTGATTATTTGACCAACATGACTGGACAGCTGCAGACAAGATGTGCCCATTCCATTGACTGGTTCTACATTACCCTGACTGGCTACTAAGGAGTCAAAGGACAGAACATATCCGACTCCCTAGACTGAGGAAGTATGGATCACCTGACTGACAAAAGCCAAACTGGAAGTTTATCTACGGCCAATCCTCTGGACTGGTATGGCATGCTGCCTCGTGACTTACTGTGCTGGGACTGCTTGAATGAGTGGTTACCTTCGTGGACTTCAGTGAGGACAATTCCCCTAAGACTTTGAGACACGGCTGCTTGCTTGCTTGCTACACATGCAGCATGCCTGCTACATAAATTATTAGCACATGAAGCAGGTGAGAGACTGACCTTACACATTACTGTACAACAAGATGTGGATCCCCATAATGCTGCTGAGCAGCAAGGCAAGCTGCTTGGTTGTGATACCATGGTAAGTGGCGAGGCAACGCAAGACATGGATGTGGCAGGCATACTGGTAAGTACTATGTGAGTGAATGTTAAGACAGCAAGCAAGCAGCCCTGAGATGCTGTTCCCAATGTGGCCTCCTCTACATCGGGGAAACCAAGCGGAGGCTTGGGGACTGCTTTGTGGAACACCTATACTCGGTTCGCGACAAACGACTGCACCTCCCAGTCGCAAACCATTTCAACTCCCCCTCCCACTCCTTGGACGACATGTCCATCCTGGGCCTCCTCCAGTGCCACAATGATGCCACCCGAAGGTTGCAGGAGCAGCATCTCATATTTAGCTTGGGAACCCTGCAGCCCAATGGTATCAATGTGGACTTGACAAGCTTCAAAATCTCCCCTCCCCCGACCATATCCCAAAACCAGCCCAGCTCGTCCCTGCCTCCCTAACCTGTCCTTCCTCCCACCTATCCACTCCTCCCACCTGAAGCCCCGCCCCCATCTCCTACCTACTAGCCTCATCCCGCCTCCTTGACCTGTCCGTCCTCCCTGGACTGACCCATCCCCTCCCTAACTCCCCATCTACACTCACCTTTACTGGCTCCAACCCTGCCTTTTTGACCTGTCTGTCTCCTCTCCACCTATCTTCTCCTTTATCCATCTTCTATCTGCCTCCCCCCTCTCCCTATTTATTTCAGAAACCCCTTCCCCGCCCCCACTTCTGAAGAAGGGTCTAGAGCCAAAACGTCAGCTTTCCTGCTCCTCTGATGCTGCTTGGCCTGCTGTGTTCATCCAGCTTTACACCTTGTTAGCCCTGAAACGTTGCCTAGTCCACTCTTTGAACACGGCGCCTGTGCAAAGTGTCACTGTTGCAGCCTTTCAATGCCAATCTGCCTTACAATGCAAATCTATGTTTCCAGAGTGTACTGACAATGCATCGGAGAGATACCAAGATGGTCCAAAGTGGTAGCTGGATGCAGCATGCCAATGTTTACGGAGGAAGGCACATACGGTTGGTGCTCTGGTCTGTGGTTTGGTTGTTGGCAACATGGAGGTTGATCGGAGCAAGTGGTGAACTGTATCCATCAGCTGCTTGCACTTGTTTCCATGTTGAGTTTTCCTGACCCCTAGCTTGTTTGGCAAGTTTGTTAAGAATGCAGGATGAACATTAATAAGGTGAGATGTGCCATCAAAATGTGTTTAACAAGCACTATTCACCATCAACTGGCAATGCACAGCAGCCTAGTGAAAGTCTTGACACATTACTTGTTGAAACCATAAATGATGGCTTTTGGGACTTCTCATCTGATCATGCCACATATCCCTCTATCGTCCACATTGCTCAGACCTTCTAAAATTCCACCCTTTGTTGCAGAAACTGAATGTAGGAAATTTTCTACTGAGCATTGTTTACAAATAAATGTAACTTCAGAAGCCACATTGATGTATTTATCTAGGGTCTCAGCTAACATTCTCCTTAAGTTCATGTGGTCATTAGAAGTGCACCTGAAAAAAATCCCAATACTCTACTGTTAATTCTATTGATGTCACACAGCCAATATAAAGTATCCAGAAATATACCTCATATCCTCATCATTAATGATTTCAATCACAGGACAAGCTACTTTTGTTCGCTTTAAATAGATTCTTTCTAGAAGTGGCTCCAGCCAGCCAACATTGCATTCAACATGGGAGTCCAAAAATGTCAGCACATCACCTAAAAGTGAAAAAGGAAGTGTGAGCTTTCGATTTATACAATGCAATCTTCAAAATGATTATGAATACCTTTTATTTCCATTCATTGACAGGACGTAGGCATCATTGGTTAGGCCAGCATTTAGCGCCAATCCCTTATTACCTTTGATGAACTGATAGCGAGCTGCCTTCCCAAACTGCTGAAGTCCATATGGTGTAGTTGGGAGAGAATTCTAGGATTTTGCAGGAACAGAAGTAACGAAATTGCAATATTGCAGATTACCCAAAACTTGGTAGACGGTTGAACTGTGAGGGGGATACAGAGATGTTTCAGGGTGTTGGGGAGGCAATGGGCTACTGGTATTATTGCTAGACTGCTTATTCAGAGACCCAGATAATGATCTGGGGACCTGGGTTCAAATCCTGCCACAGCAGACGGTGGAATTTGAATTCAATAAAACGTCTGGAATTAAGAATCTAATGATGACCATGAACCCATTGTCAATTGTCAGAAAAACCCATCTGGTTAACTACTGTCCTTTATGGAAGGAAACTACCATCCTTACCTGGTCTGGCCTACATGTGACTCCAGACCCACAGCAATGTGGCTGACTCTGAACTGCCCTCTGGGCAATAAGGGATCAGCAATAAATACTGCCTGGTCAGTGACGCACTCATCCTGTGAATGAATATTAAAAATTTTTGACAAGTTGAATGAGTGGACAAATGCATGGTGGATAAAGTATAATGTGGATAAACATGAGATTATCCACTTTGATAGCAAAAACAGGAAGCTAGATTATCTGACTAACGATATATTGGGAAAGGGGATGGTGTAACAAAATCTTGGTGTCTTCGTACACCAGTTACTGAATGTAGACATGCAGGTGCAGCAGGCAGTGAGGAAAACAAGTGGTATGTTAGTCTTTGTACCAAATGGTTTTCAGTATAGGAGCAGGGATGTCTTGCTGCAATTGTACAGGGCCTTGGTAAAACCACACAAAACTGCATGCAGTTTTGGTCTTCTTATCTGATGAAGGATATTCTGGCTGTGGAGGGAGTGCAACAAAAATTACCAGACTGATTTCCTGGGATGGCAGGACTGACATGATGAGAGACAGGATCTCAATTAAACCTATAAAATTCTAAGAGGACTAGACAGGTTAAACACAGGAAAGATGTTCCCGATGACTGGGGAGTCCAGAATCAGGGGTCACAGTCCAAGGATACAGGGTAAGCCATTTAAGATTGAGATGAGGAGAATCTTTTTCACCTGCTGAGTGGTAAGCCTGTGGAATTCTCTGCCACAGAAAGTGGTTAAGGCCAAAACATCGAATGTTTTCAAGAAAGTGTCGTTAGGTATAGTTCTTAGGGCTCAAAGGATATGGGGAGAAGGTGAGAACAGGATGCTGAGTTGGATGATCGGCTATGATCATACTGAACAGTGTTGGAGGCTCATAGGTCTGAATGGCCTACTCCTTATCCTGTTTTCTGTATTTCCATATAGTTCTAAGTTAAGATTATATATGGTTTGGAGGGGAACTTGCAGGTGATGATGTTCCAATGTATCTGTTGCCTTTGACATTCAGTGTGGTAGAGGTTATAGCTTTGGAAGATGCTGCCTAAGAAGCCTTGGTGAGTTGGTAAGCTACAGCGCATCTTGTAGGTGTTATGTACTGCTATCACTACACATCGGTGGTGGAGACAGTGAATGACAAAGATGTTAAATGGGATATCAGTCAGGCAAACTGCTTTGACCTGGATCGTGTCAAGCTTCTTGGGTTTCGATGGAGGTGTAGTCATTCAGGTAAGTGAAGAATACTTTTCGCATTCCTGTATTGTGCACTGTATTTGATCAATAGGTTTTGAGGAGTCGCAAAGTGAGTTACTTGCCACAGAGTTGAACCTCTGAACTGCTCTTGTAGCCACAATATTTATTTGGCTGGTCCAGTTCAGTTTTTCATCAATCATAAATTCTAGGATGCTGATACTGGGTGATACAGCTTTGGTACTATAACCCAACGTAGAGAGGCAATATCTGGATTCTCTGTTGTTGGGGATTGTCATTGTCTGTCATTTCTATGACACATATGTTACTAGCCATTCCACTCCGAGCTTGAATATTGTCCAGGTCTTTATGCATTTGGACATGGACAGTTCAGTATCCAAAGAGTCATAAATTGTGCAAAATATTTGTGATATCATCAGCCAACGTCCCTACTTTGGACCTTATGATGAAGGGAATGTCATTAATGAAGCAGCTGATGAGAACTGGGCTAGGATGCTATGCTGAAGACTTCCTGCAGCAACCCTATGGCTTAGATGTATGCCTTCCAACAACCACAACCATCCTTGTTCTTGTTATGACTCCAACCAGCGGACAGATATTCTCCTCACTTCCATTCAAATCAGTTTTGATTGGGATCCTTCGAGGTCAAATGCTACCTTGATGTTAAGGGCAGTCCTTTTGTACATGTTTTGACCAAGACTGTAATGAAATCAGGAGCTGGGTGGGCTTGGTGGACCAAAGCTGTGAGTCACTGAGAGTATGAGACTTAACTGCATTGTCGACAACACTTCCCACTACTTTGCAGGCTGATGGAGCGGTAATTGGCAAGGTTGGATGGGTCCTGCTTTTTACCGGACAGGAGATAGTTGTGCAATTTTCCACATTGGCGGGTAGCTGCTAGTGTTGTACATGTACTAGGCTGGGGGAGCCTAGGTTCTGGCGTATTCAATTTTATAGACAGAATATTGTCAGGTTCCATAGCCTTTGCAACATCCTGTGTCTTCAGCTATTTCTCCACATCACATAGAATGAATCAAAATGGCTGAAGACTTCCATTTGTGATGCTGGAGTCCTCAGGAGGGAACATGGATCATCCATTTGAATTGAACTGAATTGAATTGAATTAGCTTCATTGTCGTAGGTACTCAAATGAGTACAGTGAAAAGTTTATAAGTCGCCACTTATAGCGCCATTTTAGGTACAAAGGCACCTAGGTACAGAATAGAGAAATGAAGAAAAAAGTTACATTAGTTATACACAGTATGACCATAGGCCAGAAAAAACAAGGAGCAAAGTTAAAAGACAAATATCACAGTGTCTCTCCAAAGGCTTTCCACAGCAGACCAATGCAGGGTGCCTCCATGTGGTCTGACCATTGGCTGCTGCCACGCTCCCATACCAAGCTGCTATCATCCCTGCTCTGGCCATTGGTCACTTGTGTCCCCGCTTTGGGCTGCTGGCTTGCCTGCTCTGGTCACTGATCGCTGGCGTCCTTGCTCTGAGCAGCTGGCTTCCCCTCCTCGGCTGCTGGTCACTGACGTCCCCACTTTGGCCCACTGGTTGCCAGTGTCCCTACTTTAGCCACTGACTGCTAGCGCTCCTGCCAAACACTGAGGCAGTTCAGAGGCCAGGAGTCAGAGGTTGATGTAGGGTATTCGAGGCTGAGAGAGGGTACGAGAGAGGGACATAAAATGCTGAAGATGCTTGCAAATGCTTCAGCCTTGTGTTTTGCCTGGACGTGCTGGGTTCACCCATCATTACGGATGGGTATATTTGTGATGCCTTCTCCTTCTGCAAGTTGTTGACAGACCTTAGATCTGATCTGTTGGTTCCGGGATTGCCTAGCTTTGTCTGTCGCATGCTGCTTATGCAGCTTTGCATGCAAGTAATCCTGTGTGGTAGCTTCACCAGGATGGCACTTCATATTTAGCTATTACTAGTGCTAATCCTCATGTGCCTATCTGAAAACTTCATTGAACCAGAGTGATACCTGGCTTAGTGGTAAAGATAATAATCCAGGCTATGAGGTTACAGGCTGTAGACTAATACGATTCTGCTGCTGCTGTCTCACAATGCATAATGGTTGTCAAGTTTTGATTTTGGAGATCAATGCAAGATCTTCCGTTTTAGCATGATGATTGTCCCATACAACAAGATGGAGGCTTTATTTAAAATGTAGGGATGGTGTCTGTCTCCACAAGACTATACAACCAACATGCCTACCAATACTGTTATGGATGATGCATCTGAGCTGAGCTAGGTGAGGATGAGGTCAAATGCAATTTTCCTTTAGTTGGTTCCCTCACCACTTGCCATAGACATTGAACTCCCTCATCTAGAGTACATTCTGTGCTCTTGCCACCTCCAAGTGGTGTTCAATGAAAAAAGGGGGAGTGATGGTAGTCAGCAGGTGATTTCCTCGTCATGTTTGATGCGATGCCATCAGCTTTCATTGGTCCAAAGTAAATGCTGAGAACATACCCAGGGTTGATGATGGTGCTGTTTGAGACAATATCTGTAAAATCTGAGATTCTGTGAGAAAGACTTGATTATTGGTGAGACAGCTCTCCCAATTTTGGCACAAGTCCCCAGGTGTCAGAAAGGAGGAGTTTGCAGGGTTTGTATGGCTGTATATGCAACTGTTGACTTGATTGGCTTGGTCAATACCAGATGGTCCATCTATTTGCTTTTTTTAAAAAATCAGACTTCGTAGCCGTTCATGACAACTAAGTAGTTTGCTAGGCCATGGATATTTAAGAGTCTAGACCTGAAATCATATGTAAAACCTGAGCAGGCAAAGATGGCAGTTTCCTTCCCTAAAGGACATTAATGAAGCAGATGGGTTTTTATGGAAGTTGTTTCATGGCTGCCACCAGACTAGCTTTCAATTCCAAAATTATTAATTGAATTCAAGTTGCACTATCTGTCCCCCAGTTCATGAACCTGGATTTCTAGATTACTAGTCCAGTGATAAGACCAATACATCACTGCCTCCCTTTTAAAGATAAATGATTTAGGAACAATTAGCTAGAAAACATTTTTCTCTAAAAGTTCTCAGCACATCGGTCAATGAACATAAGCAAACTTAAGTTGTGAAAAAGCATCAACTTTCAGACTACAGAGAAAAAATTCCTTTCAGTTGCCCTCGCACCTTCGGCATTATTTCAGCACAAGTTTGGGGTAAAGCTCATCTTATGCACCTAAATGATGGTTGCACCATATTTCTAGTCAAACTCTGGCAACAGGGTAGACACAGTTATCTCCCAGTCTACGTGATTTCACAGAAAAAGAACAGAAATTGCTGAAAATATACAAAGTATGTACCAACAGCTCAAAGCAAAAACAAATATGTAATATTCAAAAGGTTTACCTTGAATATTAATACTCTGTCAGACATGTTGAGTATTTCTAGCATTTGCTCTTTGCATTATATTGTTCCATTCCATTCCATTCCATTATAAATGTCAGTACAAGTTCTGTTGCAATATCAGAAATTTACAACTTTTGGCCATTTGAAAAAAATATTTTTCTTCACTATATATTCTCCCTCTTTCTAGGCAATTGCCTGATGGATAAAGGTAAGCAGGTAACTGGCACCTAATCTATCTGCATTAGTCTTGGTGGTTCCATAACACAATCAGTTAGTACAAGCAGTTACCAAGTCTGGAGTAAGTTTTAAAATAAGAGATATTCTGCATTTTATTCAACTTACATGAGGGCACAAAAAAGACAGCAACATTGAACATGTTCCTTCAAGAACTGAACATAATTCATAAAGGATAAACAGTGCTTATCAATGAAAGAAAATGAGATTGATGGCCAAAGAGGTTTGTTACAAATGTGAGGTTTACATGCTAATTGTATTTTAGTACTAAATCTTTTGATTTAAAGGATTTTCATAGCTTTGGACTGCAAAATTAGAATAAAATAAAAGGAGTCATGTGACCTATGCTGGGATATGACTGGCAGTACACCAGGTCACTCAGTAAGAGTTACACGGTGGTACTGAAAGAGAGATGTTAAATGTTAACACCTGGAGACAATGACAGATGTTTCCAAGTCTGCGACAAGAGGGCTAAGTATAAAACCCAAAAATTGTTATGAGAATTGGGGAATAAATAGTTATGTTGGAACCTGTTCCTTTGACTCGAAGATGAAAAGCAGTGGTTACTAGATATAGTTGATCACTATTTCAGCTTGCACACAGAATTAAAGGAGTTTCATGGTGACATGGAGTGGAGGACAGAGAAGGATATTGTGGGATCAGATTACAGGTTTATCTGAGCATCTGGAGATATCACTGACAGAAGGCTGTTGTAGTCTTAATGTTGCTTGACCTGCAGATAATTGAGGGAAATGAACAAAAGACAGATGTTGGCCGAGCCTGCACCTTAAATAGAGAAACTGCTGGCTCTATTGTTCACTAAATGGAATGTGGCTCGGAGTTCACGCTCAGTTTGTAAACCACATTCATGGTGAAGTGGAACAAAGCAGGGATGTTTGCCGAGTTGGGGGTAGAAGGAAAACCCTGAGGGAAACTCTCAATGTGGGAGATTGTATAGAAAAGGAAAAGAACAGAAGTAAAACCCTTGGGGACTGGTTCCAGGAGAAATCATAATCTACATAAGAGACTGAGTAGCATAACAAAATTGAGAGTTTTCAGTTGTAGAAGAGTTGTACAAAACTTCATTTGGATGTTTAAAATGTTTAATATCTACAAACCTAAACAAGTGATTAGTTTATGATGTTTTGTCATTAGGCATTTATACAATAGAAGTTCTTTTTAAACACAAAATCTTGACATGTTATCATTTCAGTGAATAGTGGGAAGTTCAATCGAATCTCTTTACCTCAATGATTCATTAGATAAATGACAAAAATAAAACAAATTAGAGAAAAATAAGCACACTATACCTGTAGCAACAGCCGCACCTACAAGTCTGGCTCGTATTAAACCATGACGTTCACGGAGGTGAATAACATGAACTTTTGGGAATTGTGACATGTATTTGTCTAAATTTTCTTTCAGATATTCTATATAAGTAGAAGAGCAGAATTTCTTGGTTAACTGATTTCTCAAAGAAATAATTTGATAATATTTTTGCATTTGGACACTAAAAAGATATCCAATTGTATTTATAACCTTTCTTACTTCAGATGCAAAAAGAATTTCGATAGAAGTACGCTCATGAAATAAATGAGGAAGTTAAGGAAGAAAAGATGATAATTCAATGCCATATATCCGACATAGCAACTGACAATGTAAGTGATTTAGTTTCTCATTAAACAATATAATATTCCAAGTTATTATTCACTGCATAATAGAGAATCAATTTTTAATAATTTCACTATTATTTCTAATGAATAAAAAAAATCTATTTATTTTTACACTTTGATTCCAAAATATCAATCAAGAGTGTAAGTTCATTGGAATTGCCAGATGGGTAGTTCAAATTGGTTCCAATGGGATTCCATTGTATTACAGTGGAGCAAAAAAAATGCCATTAGGAATGAGGATGACCCATTTCAAGGAAGGATAGTGGAAGTAATTCCTGGGCAACCCTAGGAATTTTGCAGAAGTGGAATTTTAACAAATAACTGGCAGGAGTTCCCAGCGGCAGCAGGAAAGATTCTAGACCACACAAAGACAGGGACTGAATAACTTCATAATGAGGGCAAATAGGAAAAGATTGGGACAGCTCTCGTGATAGGGACTTAACTGTAAGCAGAACTGACACATGCTTCTGTGGTCGTAAACTAGATTCTTGACCGATTTGTTACCTCCATGGTGCCAGGGTCAGTGATGGCTCAGAGCAGCTGCAAGGCAATCTGAAGGGGGAGGGTGAACAACCAGAAGTCGTACTACATGTCAGTACCAACAACATGGGTAAAAAAACAAATGAGGAACTGCAATAAGAATTTAAAGACTTAGATAGTAGATTAAAGAGGAAGATTACTAAGGTTGTAATCTTTAAATTACTTCCAGTGCCATTTGCTACTAAGTAAAGGACTAGGAAGATAGCTCAGATGAATGTGCGGCTAAGCTCAGATGAATGTATGGCTGAGGGGATGGTGTAGGAGGGAGTGCATAAGAATTTTGGATCACTGCGACAGTTTCTGGGGTAGGTGGGACCTGTATAAACTGTACAGGTTACACCTGAACCAGAATGTGTCCCAAATCCTTGCTGGGAGATTTGCCCTTGCTTTTGGGGAGGTGGATGGGGTACAGAGCAGATGGAAAGTCAGAAGCAAGGTTCAATCAAACATAGAATAAATTACTAGAGACCAAAGGGGTAATCTATGCATGGAGCCAGAGGATGTGATTGAGGTCTTAAATGAATATTTCTTACCTATAATCACAAAGGAGTAAGACATTGTAGCTACAGAATTCAGCTAGAATGGTGAGGTTGTACAGCTTATTAAAATTAATAAGGAGGTGGTATTAGATGTCTTAATGGGCATATCCCCAGGGCTTGATGAGATGTACTCCAGGCTACTATGGGAGGTGAGGGAGGAGATTGCTGGGGCCCTGGTGGAGATATTTACTTCACTGGTCACAGATGAAATGACAGATAACTGGAGGATAGCTAATGTGCTTCCTTTGTTCAAGAAGGGTAGCAGACATAGGGCAGGAAATTACAGACCAGTTAGTCTGTCGTAAGTGGTGAGGAAATTATTGGAAAAAATTCTGAGAGACAGGATCAATCAGTACTTGGAAAGGCAGAGATTGATCAGGGATAGTCAGCATGGATTTATAATTATTGAATCCCTATAGTGTGGAAAGTCGCCATTTGGCCAACCGAATCCATACCAACCCTTTGAAGGGCATCCCACCAGGACCCACCTCATCTTCGTGACCCCACATTTACCATGGCAAATCTACATAGCCTGTACATCTCTGGAGACACTGGGGCAAACTACCAAACGTGTACATCTTTGGACTGTAGGAAAATATCCTTGGAGACCCAGAAGAAACCCAAACAGATATGGAGAGAACATGCAAACTCCACACGGTCACCCAAGGCTGGAATTGAACCTGGATCCCTGGCATTATGAGGCAGCTGTGCTAACCACTGTGGCATCATGATTTTGGATGAAGATCCTGTCTGACTAATTTAATTGAGTTTCTTGAAAAAGTGGCTAAATATACAGTACAATTGATGTGGTTTACATGGACTTCAGTGAGACTTCTGACAAGGTCCCACATGAAAGGCTCGTCCAAAACGTAAGGGTCCATGGGATCAAAGGCAAGTTGGCAAATTGGATCCAAAATTGGCTCGCAAATAGGATTTAAAGGGTGATGCTGGAGGGTTGTTTTATGATTGGAAGTCTATGACCAGCGGTGTATCACAGGGCTTGGTACTGGGACCCTGCCCATTTGTTATGTATATTAATGTCTTGGATTTGAAAGTAAAAGGTATAATTCATAAGTTTGCAGATGACACATAAATTGGTGGTACTGTTGATAGTGAGGTGGATGGTCTCAGGCTACAACTTGATATTGATCGGCTGGTAAATTGGGCAGAGCAATGGCAGATAGAATTTAACCCTGATAAGTCTGAGGTGATGTATTTTGCGAGGTCTGATAAAGTAAGGATTTACACAATGAACTGTAGGTCCTTACGGAGTGCTGAGGAACAAAGGGATTTTGGTATGCAAGTCCAAAAATCCCTAAAGGTGTCAGAACTTGTAGGCAGTGTGGTGAAGAAGGCAAATGAGGTGCTTGCCTTCATTGGCTGGGGTGTAGAATAGAAGAACAAGGAAATTTTGTTACAACTTTATAAAATATCGGTGAGGCCAGAGATGGAATAATATGTGTAGTTCTGGTTGCCACACTATCAGAAGGACACGATTGCACTGGCGAGGATGCAGAAAAGATATACCAGCATGCTGCCTGGGATGGAAAAGCTCAGTTATGATGAGAACCTGGAGAGGCTGCATTCATTTTCCCTAGAGTAGAGGAGGCTGAGGCGGTATCTGATTGAGGTATAAAAATTATAAGAGGCATAGACAAGTTAGATCATGAGAATCTTTTCGCCATGGCAGATGTGTCTCAGACCAGAGGGAAAAAGTTTAAGGTGAGAAGTAAATAGTTTAAAGTGGATCGAAGAAAACATTTTTTCAGCCAGAGTAGTAGAAATATGGAACGTGCTGCCTCTGAGAGGATGGTGGAGGCAGGTACCCTCTCAACATTTAAGAGGCATCCAGACAAACACTTAAAATGTCAGGGCATAGTAGGCTATTGACCAAGTGAAGGCAAATGAGATTAGTGCCATTTGGCGTTTGTTGGTCAGCACAGATGTGATGGGCTGAAGGGCCTGTTACAGTGCTGCATTACTCTATGACTCTAAGACAAGTAAAACTCAAACTAGTAGAGCCGATAGAGTATAGAATAGCTAGATATTTCCTTGGCAATTTTCCAAATTGGTTGCAGTAATTTCAGTGAAAATTTGGATGAAATGCCAGTGACAAACTGAGTTTTTGACCAACTTTTGGAGGCTGATCAGGCGATCTGTTCAAGGAAATTCTTCACAATAAATATTTGGAAAGAATGCAATTTCTTAAGTTTACTTCTATAACAGCAAGATTGTTGCTAATTCAAGCAGCACGACCCCTACTATGTAATATAGGGACAGTTCAGTGGTTACACAGCAAATAGAAACATTCCAGGAGACCTCAACAGTAGCAGAAAAATATTCTTACAATTCAGAAACTGACATTCACAAGCAAAAGTGTTTTATTTAGGTTTCAGAACGACTAATTCTTTCCATTTCACTCGCATTTTAAGGTAATAATATGTAGGAGTCTTTTGAGAAATATATGCTTTAGTTACATTGACTGAAATAGTTTTTTCTTACCTTTGGTGCTAAAATCATCCACAAGGATAACCTCTTTAATGAGATGAGCTGGTGATCTGTTGAAGATGCTGTGAACTGACCTCAGAAGTGTGGACCACACTTCATCCACGAAGCACATGATGATGCTGGTCGTTGGAAGGTTGTTGTGAACTACCTGGTTGGAACACCTGGAACAAATATGTCCAAGGGGTATAAAGTTTAAACAGTGGAGTCATGGCATGTGCATTGTTGTTTAGATACAAAGGAGTTCCACCAATTCTTGATTCTTCTCTAAATTCAAAAGATTTCTTCAAATGAGAGAACTGAATCTGCTTCACATCATAGGTAAATATGCTGCATACAGATCAAATCTAAGTAACCTCCTGAATTAGATTAAATCACTTAAAGGAACTAGAGAACAACTTTCCAAAATTTTCTGAATTTTTGTGTGATCTACTCACTTCCAGGAGTTTACATGACTTCAGGAAGGAAGTGACTGTCTAGTAATACATAGAACACGATAATTGTAGGCAAGGAGCTGGGTGAACCAGTTTATGTTTTGCTGGCTATGATTTGTGCAGGTTTGTAAACTACACACCCTCAATTTATCCAATCTTCACTCCTATTAAAAAATGCTGTAGTTATTTCATTAGACCTTCATCTTACACATTCCTATAATAAAACAAATGAAAAGCTTTGTTTATTTAATTTCTCAGATGTAGTTATTTCTGTTACAAGTTTAACCATCAACTACAATAATTTCCACATATGTAGTGTAAGCAATATTAGCCAAGGCTACCTCATAGAGTCATAGAGTTGTACAGCACAGAAACAGACCCTTCGATCTAAGTCGTCCATATCGACCAGATATCCTAAATGGCCCACATCCCTCTAAACCCTTTCTACTCATATACCCATCCAAATGCCTTTTAAATGTTGTAACTGTGCCAGCCTCCACCACTTCTTCTGGCAGCTCATTCCATACACACACCACCCTCTGCGTGAAAAAGTTGCCCATTAGGTCCCTTTTAAATCTTTCCCCTCTCACCTTAAACCTATGCCCTCTAGTTTTGGACTCCCGCACCATGTGGAAAAGACATTGTCTATTTACCCTATCCATGGCCCTCATGATTATAAGGGTCACCCCTCAGTTTCTGATGCTCCAAGGGAAAATGGGCCCAGCTTATTCAGCCTGAGAAGGAGACAAAAATGCAGGTGACTACTGATATTCTCTTGAGGGACACAAGACAAAATGTAAGAGAAAGCTATCTAGTTAAAATAATATTTTGGAGACTGATGATGCACTCTAGCCCCTAAGACAGCAACTGGTCACAAAAGGTCTCGAACATTTAGGTGAACAGGGCATGGTTTCTCTCCAAGGACACCTTGATGCAGATGTAAACAGAAAAGAGGGCCAAGTTGTTAAGATGAATGACTGTCTCAAAGACCTGGTTATTGGCACTTCAGCCAGGCCATGGAGTACAATCAGAATATTACTGTACCCCGTGTGCACCATTTAGTCACAAGTCAGGGATGTGGGCTGAGGTGTAAGCAAAATCTGAGTTACAGTCGAAGTGGATCGCTTGATGAAGAATCCATATGGGTGGAGGTCAGAAATAGGGGATAAAACAAAATAACAAAAATAATAGCTCTGACGAAGAGTCATCTAGACTCAAAATGTTAGCTTGCACTCTCTCCATGTATGTTGCCTGACCTGCTGCAATCTCCAGCATTTGTTGTTTTCAGTACAGATTCCAGCATCTGCAGTAATTTGCTCCTACAAAAATAGCTGGAAAGACAGGTTGGAAAAGGGATACAAACAATTTACAGAGAGATAGTAATAGATTAAATAAGTGAGTAAAATGTTGGCAAATGGAGTATAATGTAGAAAAATGTGAAATTGTCTGTGGTGAAAAAGGCATTTGGCACATTTGCCTTCATTAGTTAAAACACTGAGTATAGATGTTTGGACGTCATGTTGCAGCTGTACAGGTCATTGGTGAAGCCACTTTTAGAATACTGCGTACAACTCTGGTCGCCCTTCTATAGGAAGATGTTGTGAAGCTCAAGATGGTGTAGAAAAGATTTACAAGGATGTTGCCAGGGCTGGAGGGCTTGAGTTATAGGTAGAGGCTTAATAGGCTGGGGCTATTTCCCCTGGAGCGTCGGCGGCTGAGGGGTGACTTTATAGAGGTTTATAAAATCATGAGGGGCATGGATAGGATGAATAACCAAGGTCTTTTTCCTAGGGTGGGGGAGTCCAAAACTACAAGGCATATGTTTAAGGTGAGAGGGGAAAGATTTGAAAGGGACCTAAGGGGCAACCTTTTCATGAAGAGGGTGGTGTGTGTATGGAATGAGTTGCCAGAGGAGATAGTGGAGGCAGGTACAATTACAACATTTAAAAGGAAACTGATGGTTATATGAAATAGGAAGGGTTTAGAGGGATATGGGCCAAATGCTGGCAAATGGGACAAGATCAGACTGGGAGATAGTAGGGACTGCCGATGCTGGAGAATCTGAGATAACAAGGTGTAGAGCTGGATGAACACAGCAGGCCAAGCAGTATCAGAGGAGCAGGAAAGCTGACATTTCAGGTCTGGACCCTTCTTCAGAAACGGGGGAGGGGAAGGGGATTCTGAAATAAATAGAGAGAGAGGGGGAGGCGGATGGAAGATGGATAAAGGAGCAGATAGTTGGAGAGGAGACGGACAGGTCAAGGAGGCGGGGATGGAGCCAACAAAGGTGAGTGTAGGTGGGGAGTTAGGGTGGGGATTGGTCAGTCCAGGGAAGACGGACAGGGCAAAGAGGGGGGGTGATGAGGCTGGTAGGTAGG